AATTTAGGCTTGTCACAACTGCACCGAATTGTCCTATAAAAATACACTAAGGATCGCAGTTTCCTGAACTGTACTCAATACAGTCATATTTCTAGGGAAAGCTATGTTCATAATTCAGTTGGCAATTAAGTTTTTTCACATTAAAATATCATCATCTCCCTCTTGGAATGCCTAAGCCTCACGCTGTGCATCACACAGAGTAACATCATGCTACACACATTAGAATTAGCAGTGACCCGAGTTATCTGTGTTACACATCTGTGTTATCTTGCCATGCATCATACCTGGCAAATCAGTGTGATCAGTTGTGTAGTAAATCATTCCTTTTCTTGATGTATTTTAACATTTGAAGGATGTAGTTTAACAGAAAACAGCAGTAACCGATCTTATGAATACATATGACATGTAACCTAGCTTTTCCCAGCCATTCCATGCTTACAGACAGTTGGAACACATTGGAAAATACTTTATATTGAAGACAATCCAGTTCCAATATGGAGTAAAAATTAACCACTTCTGATTTTTCTAAAAAATAGAAATTTCCAGCATCTCTTTTTCTGTGTGTAAAGAAAAAAAATATTTTGCCTATGAGAAGAAAAACAATTAGACTTTTTTTCTCCTCTCTCACCCCATTTCCTCAGAAAGCTCCAGAGGTGAGCTAATTGAGGTGTGTCCCAAACATAAAGCACTGCCAAAAGTCAAGGCCAGTATGTTCTTAGCAGAAATTCTGTTTGCTCCTTTGGAGGATGAAACCATAAATACCAAGTGAGGGTTCCTAGATAAGTTTCTGGAAGTCTGGAAGACCCAGCATTGTTCTCAAAGTTTTCTGACAAACCCATGCTGAGGAGAACTCTGATGTACTTTAAGAGTAGTGAAGATCCTGACGTATCACCCCAGCAATGTAGTCAGCTACTCTGTTTGGGTCAGTATCATCCCTATTACAACTCACCAAACTCAGCATTTCTCAAAATAAAAAGCCATGTGAAATCTTAAAATGTTTTACCATACCTACACTTCATGACTCCATCTGCAGAAGAAAATCACTGGAAAAAACCACAGTCACCTATAGAAATATTTAGAAGTGTAACTTCCAAACAATTCTCCTCATTCAAAATGATTTACATCTTCTTGGATGCTTCCAGCTAAGAAATTAAGCTAACTTGTCAACATCAAACTAAATAAACAGCAGATTGTTCATTACAATCTATTAGAATAGATTTTTTTTTCTTAAATTTCCATGGTGAATCTTTGAAACAGTTGCATTCACAGCTGCCCTTCAAACATCCACATCCAAAATGTGGAGGTATCAGGAAGTCAGCTAAGATTAGATGTTATCTCCCCAAAATAACCGAAGAACATACCATCTTATACAACCTGGGTAGCACAAAATTTTCCAGAATTTGAAAGATAACATAGACACAAAACTGTTTCCAAGAAACATATTTGCAATAACCTTAAGCAAATGTTACATAAAAGAAGGCAGACTCTGCAACAAAAAACACAACTAATTTTGTAGTAAAAGTCTACTCATATCAATCATATCAGAGCACATACATAAAGAGAGCTCACATGATCCAGGGTTACAAATATTATCCAGTATTGCTAACACTCACTAAATACTATTTATACTGTCCAAAAAAAAAAGTGGAAAAAAAAATCCCACACGTGATCACTTTAACACCATAAATATTAAAATGTCCATCAACCTACAGAGTGTTGTGTCTGCAACTGAAACATTTCTTAAGTGACCTGGGAATGCTCTCTACTTATCTCTTGTGTCAAAGTATGAGTGCAGAATAAAAAAGTCTCCATGGGCAATAGGTGAAGAGTTACAATATGGAGTATTCACAACTTTCCTGAGCTTCCAAGAATGTAATTTAGGAAGTTTTAATATGTTTAGACAGATGACTGGAGCCATGTGAATTTGGCACTTTCTTGGGCACAGTTCTAAAATTCAGGAGAGGAAGTGTTCTTATGTAGCTGTCTCCTTTATGAATGTCTGCCCAATCATGGTTGAAAAGAGACATCCAAATGCACTCCAGATTTTCAGTTGGGTGGCAAAGTGTTCTCTGCTGAAAATAAAGAGGCCATGGTTGCAATTTGGGCTGCTTTTGGCTGCCTGATCCTCTTTCATCTTTGGTATGTCAGAAGCTTCTTTCAAAAACTAAACGTCCAAAACATAAATGTGGGGATGAAGGGGCTGAAAATGGAAGATTGGTGAGAAGAAAAGAGATTAAGTTGTTTTTAGAGTTGTTTTTACTCAAGAGACTTTTGCAGCTGGCAATGCTAGGGCTGGGAAAGATCAGTGTGGGAAAATCCCATTTATTACACCTACTGATGCTTATCTTCTGCCTTTTTTTGAGATGTAGGAGATAACACTTTCTCACAGACACAGTGCTGGGAGAGAGGGAGACCGTAAAAGAACAGGGGAGAACACAGTCTTGAAGTTATGCGTATGCAAAACGTATTGTTATAAAAGCACCAGAACAGGCCTGCTGCTGCACTCTTTCGCCCACTGCACAATTTACCAGTGTATTTAGGGTGTCTGACTTTGGAATAAACTTTTCTTTAATACCTTAGTCCTGGTTTGGCCATCTGGGTTTACCCGTGTGCGTATCAATTCTTACGGTAAACATTCACCATGGGCAGCTATTCCAGTGGTATCCTGTGAATGGTTCTTGAACCTGCTCTCAGGAACAACTAACCTTGACTTTAAAAGCCAAAATAGCTTTTTATCATTGGCTCCTCCCAGTCAGATACATAATCACAAAAGCAAATTTAGAAGACATTCTTGGTTTTGCCTGATAGGTCAAGTGTTCTTACTGATACATCAGGACTTGAAGAATTCTGTATGACCAAAACAGTGCACCAGGCAAGTGAATGCCGTAATTGAACTGCTCTGGTCTCATAGCTTGAAGTTCTCTCTGTTGAAGCATATTTTCCTATTCTTGCATTCTTTCCTTAACAGAGGATACCTCTTTATTCTTATGAAGGGATGAACTTGTGACTCTGAGATATTGGGATATTGACCAGAACTACTTTGCTTTAGATATAGAGGAGACTGCTCAGATACTCAGCAGACCCTTGAATGTCAAGCTATCCACTCTTATTCAGTGAGTCAGGAAAACACAAAAACTTAGTGGGCTGAGGCTAGAGATAGTCCAATGATTACACTCCCTCTAGCTATAGTTCATTTTATAAATCTATTAGTGAATTCATAAAAGGTACATTCTGAGGATCTATGCCAATTGCCTCCAAAAGGCAGACTACAACACTTCACATCCAGAGTCTGCATGAAATTATCCTGTAATACTTGTTTATTAGCTCTGAAAAAAAAAATAGACTGGTGAAATCTTTACACACACATTCCCCCAGGAAAATTATTTTAAAATGTTAAATTTCAATAAATGAAGAAGTGCTTTTCTTCAGCTCTCTCCTTAGAGAGTACCCATGTATTTTCATAAGATGGCCAAGATGTGCAAGCTTCCTCTTTTCTGCATTATGAGGTGCAAATGGTAATTTCTCCTTTTTTTAAGGAGCATTCTCATCCATATTGAAAGGTCCTCTCACAGCTATCTTCTGCCTTCTCTTTCTAATGTTAAACACCAAATCCATTCACACTGTGATTAATTTTATGAGACCATGTTTCTTGCAACCCTGATCCTTCTCAGCCTTATTCTCCAAAGGCCTCTCACTAGCAGGTATCTTACACTAAGGGTGAGCCTCAGAAACTGACACTGTGTCAGTGGAAAAACAACAGGAGTCTCCAGCCCAGGCATGGGTCTGGAAGTGGTTTTCCCTCAGCCACCAGTAATGCCACAGAGAATCATCTCTGGTCACATCAGGGGAGAGGGTGTGGGGGCTTTCTGGAGTCCACAGCCAGTTGCTTGCTCTTGACAAGGGGCTATGCTGTCAGAAAAGGAAACAGATGTGTCTCCTTACACAGTCCCCTCTGCTGTAATTTTTGGCTGTGATTACCTGGACACACATGAAATCTTGGAAAATGAAGTTCTTGGAGTGGAGATTGAAAAGGAATGCTTTAGTTAAAATAATATGAAAATTTTTAAATTAAATTAATTTCAATTTTATATTTCCTCTTAAATGTTCATTATCCTAGTGTGACAAACTAAAGTTGTGTCTGGACAACAAGGGAATAAGACATTTCCATACATGCAACAAGTTTTACCAAAATTATTCCGTGTTTACTCCTTGATGTTTAGGCTCAGGGGAGCCAACCTGTCTGTTGTTGAGATACTGACAGGGAAGACTGCTACAGGACTTGGCCCAATCCCCTCTCTCTCTGCAGGGGGGTGAAGGTACCACTGTACTCTTTGCGGCTGCCAGTCCAGGATAAGGAGGATGGAGCCTGTCAGAGGGTGTTGCTGTGGCTGATGTGGCCAGAGTGGATTGTGCTGCATCTTTGTTTCACTGCACTTTGTACAGGAAGGGTGATGCTGCTTGGGCACACTCGGCTTTTTGGGCTTGCACTTCAGTGCTCAGCCACCATGTCTATAACGATTGGCTCCTCCACACCCAAACACATACATGCATTAGCCATGTTCCCTGGTTGTATGTGTTTGGGAGTGGAGTTGGTGGTAAACAGCTGCAGAGAGCAGAGTGGCAGTGAACTTCCCAAAGAGGCTGCGATGTAACATCTAGTGTTTTCCTGGGAGCTGTCAGTGGGCAGCACTGGGAGCCAGGCACTGCTGCCTGCCCTGGGGCCTGCACACCCTCAACCCTCAAGAATAGGGGCCTAAAGAATGCTGGAGAGAGACTTCTTACAAGGAAGGGCAAATAGTGATAGGACAAGGGGGAATGACTTTCAAGAGAAAGAGTGTAGGCTTAGATTAGATTCTATGATTCTATGTTGCTCCTGCAGCCACCCCCACGCCAGAGGCCTGAGTGCCCAGAACACAGAACCCACCACGCTGTGACATCAGGCCCGGGGACGAGGCCTTCGTGGGCAACGTGGCTGCTGCGGGCACTGCGTCTGCGCTGGTGCAAGGAGCCCTCACTTTTTGCAGCTGACACGTGCCTCTGGTAGCCATGAATTGGCTCTGCCTCCTCGTCCTGCTGGCCACGTGCGGGCTTGCACACGGCACATGGGACAACTGCGGGTAAGTGGCCCCACGCTCTGGGAGGGAGCTTGGGCGATGCTTGGGAGGGGCCATGGGAGTGGGCCCGTTATCCCCTGTGGCTATGCCACAGCTTCCCAAAACCCATGGGGGAGCCTCAGTTCCTTGCCAGCAGCCAGGTGCTGACACGACAGACACACACCCTGTGGGCTCTGCAGGCCTGCTGTCCATGCTGGTGGGGAGGGCAGACGGCTGAGCTTCAGCCTGAGCGGCAGCACAGAGCAGGACAGTAATGACTTTCTGCTTACAGATCGGTGTGCGGGTTCCGATCCATGGGTTATGACTACGGTGCCAACGCTTATCAATACAACTACTATGGCATGTCACGCGTCGTGGGCGGCACAGGTGCCCACGAAGCGTCCTGGCCCTGGCTCGTCAGCCTCCAGCATGAGTGGATACCAGACACGGGGCATTTGTGCGGAGGGTCCCTCGTCCACCCGCAATGGGTCCTCACGGCAGCCCACTGCTTTGACGATGTCACGTAAGGAGGAGCAGGGAACGGGGGTATCCTCACAACACCAGCAGGTGCCCTGCCACCAGCACCACATCTTACTCCCATCCCCTTTGCTTGCAGTGAGCCCAGCTGAGAGACTGGGTTCAGGAGAAGGCTGGTCTCATGCCACTGCTTCCTAGCAGCCCCCAGCTCACCATTCCCACAGCCTGAGGCATACTAGGGCCTCAGTCAGTGCCCCATAGCACTGAAGGCTGGCAAGTGCTGGGCTGCTGCAGTGCACGGCTCTGCTCCCTCTCACCCTTTTCTCTGCATCTGCCTTCCAGCAACATCAGCCTGGTGTATGTGGTGATCGGGGCCACCCAGTTGACTCAACCAGGGCCTGGGGCACAAGTCCGCTACGTTAAGCAGCTGCGCCTTCACCAATACTATAATAAAGTCAACATGAAGAACGACATCGCCATGCTGGAACTGGACCATCCTGTCATGTGCAGCCCCTACATCCAGCTGGCCTGTGTGCCCGATCCGACACTAAGAGTGTCAGACCTGGCATACTGCTTTGTCGCTGGCTGGGGTGCCACCACTGCAAGGGGTGAGTTCCCAGGAAGGACTCGTGATTTGAGGGCAGTCTCAGCACCCTGGGGAGACAGGTTGGGCTTCCTGACAGCAGAGGCCAAAGCCAAAGTCCCTCTGCAGGACGGATGCCTCTGGACAAATGGGCCTGGCTTGCGCCCCAAGTCACACAGTAGGGACACAGCATTCCAGTGCCTCTCCAGAGGCCAAGCCAAGGCCTAGTGATGGGAATCAGCCTCAGGCAGGGCAGGAGAAATGGCAAGGAGCTGCTGAGTGCTCATTCCTTTCTGTGCTTACAGCTGCAAAAACAAGTGATCTCCTGCAGGAGGCCCAGGTCCACCTCATCGATCTCAAGCTCTGCAACAGCAGCCAGTGGTATGCGGGGGAAATCCACAGCTCCAACTTGTGTGCTGGTTATCCACAGGGCATCATCGACACCTGCCAGGTAGGAAGGAGTGTGTGATGAGCCACTCGGCCCCCAGCAGCACAGGCAGCCCCAGTCAGCACTGAACACAGCCCCAGGTGGGCCTTGACTGGCCAGTCAGTCACTCTCCCAGCCCTGCATCCACACTGCTGTTGGGGCTACCCTCCCATTCTCCATCCATGTGTCCTTGCTCAGTGCCCCCAGAGGTCTGTCACTCTGCCCAGAAAGTCCATCCAGTCCTCTTGGCAGGCCTGGGGTCCAGATGCCAACCCTCGAACATCCAGAATCACTGTGCAGTCATGAGAGAGAGCCCTACCTTGCAGGACCCCAACCCACTCACAGTCAAGGTTCTGGATGCTCCAGCACCTTGGTGTGCTGTGAATACATCCCTGGCACCTTGCTCTGCTGGGAATACAGCTCTGCTGTGAGAGAGAAGGAGACAGCCCCAGTGCTGACCGGGGCCACCCAACATGACCCTAATCCTCTCTGCTCCATTGCAGGGGGACAGCGGTGGTCCTCTCATGTGCAAAGACAACGTGGCTGACTACTACTGGGTTGTTGGAGTGACCAGCTGGGGAAGAGGCTGCGCAAGACCAAAGCAGCCCGGAGTCTACACCTCCACTCAGTACTTCTACAACTGGATGCTGGCTGAGATGGCTGCAAGCCCATATAGAAGGGCTTCTCTAGCAGCACAGGCTTGGGGTCATTTTCCAACTGCCCCACAACCCACTCAGTATCCATGGATGAGACCACCTGCCACGCAACCACCATGGACAAGACCAACTGCCGCACAGCCGCCATGGACGAGACCACCTGTCACACAGCCGCCATGGACAAGACCACCCGTCACACAGCCACCGTGGACGAGACCACCCACCACAAAGCCACCATGGACAAGACCACCTGCCACACAGCCACCATGGACGAGACCAACAGCTGCACAGCCACCATGGACGAGACCACCCACCACACAGCCGCCATGGACAAGACCAACTGCCGCACATCCACCATTGACAAAACCACCGGCCCCAGAGAAGCCGAAGCCACTGCCGAAGCCAAAGCCAACATCATCGGACCAGGTTAGCTCCTGTCCATATCCAGCTGATGAGCTGGTGAAATTCTTTACTCAGGTGAAGGATCTCCTCCAGGAGGTCTTTGGGGAAAATACAATTTGAGCAGCAGGACAGACAGGATCCAGTGTGAGCTGCAGTACACCACGACCACTTCCTGATGGTGCAATGCCTACTGATCCAAAGGCTGCCTCAGAGTCAAAAGTCTACTCTGTCCTGCCTACACTCCTCTTCTGCATGCAGGCAAACACTGAAGTTGACTTAATTGTTGAAATAAAGTTGCCTATGTTCACGATTAATCATGTTTTCAGTCCAATTCTGTCTCTTGGGAAAAGCAAGGACTTCCATGCTCAGCACATGCAAAATGAGCCTGAAGTCAGACAGGCGGGCACAAAGGTACAGAGTCATTCCAAAGGGAGGCAACTGGGCCTGGCCAGAGAGAAGGGTGCTCAAAGCCACCATAGACTGGCACATCAAGGCTAGGAAGCAGATAGGAAAAAAAGTTTAGTAAGGTTCCAGTATTTGTTGAAAACTCCTAGCAGACATTGCTGCCTCATTGTACTCAAGATGAATTCCTCCTATATTAATAATTTGTGAGAAGAGTGTTGCTGTTTTACACCACTGACACTGCTCCTGTATGCAACTTCCCCCTTTCCCCAGCGGCAAAAGAGGGATTGCACTTTGCAGTGCAGCTGTCAGTGCTCTTGTATTTTTCCATTCTTCTGGTCCAATTTTGACACACCGGAACCTGAGATACACTTTGTTTTCTGAAACTGTATCAGAATGAATTTACAAAAAATAATTAAAGAGGAAAATGTAGGGGAGGGAGGTGGAAATACTGAGACCTTGAGTCATGACATCCATCAAACACAAGCAAACCCCAACTACCAAACCTCGGGGTCCTCTGGGGCTGAGGGAAGCCAAAGGCTCTCACAGCCGAGCTGGTTGCACCCAGCCCCAGCACCTCTCCTGGCTCGTTACCTCCCACCCAGACCCCCAGCCAGCCCTTCCCCACTCTGTCCCAATGGGGCCCCACCAGCTTTCCCCAGAGCAGACCCCAGCTCCGGTGTCCTTCCTCCCCAGGGAAAGGACCTCAGCTGTGCTGTGATGGCCCTCTGTGCCCCAGACACCTCCTGTCTGCCAGCTGCGCTCTGTGGGCAGCTCTGAGCTGAGCCCTTGCCCTCCCCGGAGTATCAGAGATGCCGGGCCCACACCCTTTGGAAACACTTTACCTGCCTGGCTCGGTGCTTCTCTCCACCCCTCCCGGACAGGGATGGGACATCCCCAGGTTCTTTGGGCAACCTATTCCAGTGCTTCACCACCCACACAGTGAAGAATCTCTCCCTTATATCTGCTCTGAATCTACCCTGTTTCCATTTAAAACCATTCCTCCTTGTCCTATCCCTACCGACCCTACTGAGAAGTCTAAATCAAGGAAACCAATACATTCAGACCCTTAATCAACAATCTGCTAAAACACACTCGAACTCAGTGGAAGTCATCCTCTGCATTATGCCTAGCACCAAAACACAAAGCCACTGGAGAGAAAAAAAAAAAATTACTTAATAATGCCATGTACCACCATGGCATGAATTCCATCTGTTCTCCATCTCAAGAGGCACCACATTCCAAAACATCCTTCTGCCCCCATGCATTTGTAGCCCATGCCCGCTCTCCATGTTGCTGCATCCCTCAGAACACACTTCCAGCCTTCTTATCCAAGTCACTTACAGCTCGCGCAAGTGAAATTCAATCTATGTTAATTTTCCAATTAATTCTCTATCCCACTTTCCAACATTCTCACCCCAGCTGACATGAAAAGCAGGCACCTAGTTTTACACTGAGATGGCAAAACAGATGAATGCTTAATGACCTAAGTAGTTCAATTCACTGATGATTATTAAATCCTAGAAAGGTTTCCAAAGCAAATAGCAGGCAGGTTCACACCACACAGGCTAAATGTGACACCATGAGCTTTAGTTTAGAATTAGTGAAAAACTTGCTAATGTTTGATTTCCTTCAAGGGAAATAGATGGTTTCAACAGACTCTAAAAATGCTTTTTTTAAAAATCCTATTAGTCTTGCCTTACTCAGCTAAAACTTAGCCCAAACTGAGTCTGTTCCCTGGAGTTCTTTCAGCTACCCACAGAGCTGCTCTGCCAAACTGCCCCATCTTGAGCCTGCTATTTTTGAATCTGTTTCTTGCAATACCCTGGTCATCTGAGTGCAATGAAACCTTCAAAGACTGAATTGTTATCTGTACTCAGAAGTGCATTACAGGCTTTCATCCTCAACCTTGGAAAGGAACAGTCTTGTTCAGTGAGAATATTTACCAGGAATTCTTATAGAGTAGATAGATAGATAGGCAGATAGATAGGCAGACAGATAGATAGATATGAAACTAAGCTGATTTTTGTACTTAGAACCAAAACTTTACCAGTGCATCAAAAATTCCCCCATCAGCTCCACTGTATGGCAATCTTGGGAGCATGTGATGAGCACATTGTTAACATGATTTTAGAAAGCAAGGCAGAGTTTTGTAATTGCCAATTGCAAGGTTAGATTGGACCTCTAGTTCACTGCCAGGGTATAACCTATTATTAAAAAAAATAAAAACAGTGACCCAACAAAAACTCTCAACATCAGGGAAACCCTGTGGGTGATGTATTTTGGGGTGGTCTACGGGGTCTTTGGGTTGTTGGAGTCAACTGCCTGCCTAGGAGTACATTTGAGGCATATAACAGCACTCCCCTGAAATCCATGGTCTGTCAGGTCAGATCTCTTAGACAATCTACATAATTGCATAAATTGCTTTCACTTTCTGTTCTCTATATACAACTCAAAACAATCAAAAAACAGAGTTTAGGCATCATTAGCCCATATAACCTACTCCATAGCACAAACATGTCATTACATTAATTAATGTACTAATGCTGATTACTTAGGACTGCATAGCACATTAGGGCAATTAATACTGCAATGGTTTGAGTTGGAAGGAACTTCAAAGGTCATCTAGTTCCAATCCCCTGTCCCTAGTCAGGGACATCCTCCACTAGACCACATTGCTCAGAGCCCCATCCAACCTGGCCTTGAACACTTCCAGGGACGGGGCATCCACAACTTCTCTTGAAAACCTGTTCCAGTGCCTCACCACCCTCACAGTAAAGACTTTTTCCTCATACCTAATCTAAAACTACTCACTTTCAGTTTAAAGCCCTTTTCCCTTGTCTTGTCACTATGTGCTCTTGTAAATAGTCTCTGTCCATCTTTCTTGTAGGCTCCCTTCAGGTACTAGGAGGCCACTGAAGTTTGCAAAAAAAAGATTGTATGGAAGTCAAATTTTAGAAATTTTTAGGCAATGCATTGCAAACTTTACTGATATTTCCTTTACCTGTCCAAGATGGGGCATTAGGTTTTAATTTACCTGAGTTTGAGTCCCAAATACAAAACTAATTTCGCAAATTAATTCTGTAAGAATCTGATCCAGTTCTTTCCAGTAAAAGGTTGCTGCTAAACTTGCACATTTATTAATGGAACAACCACATGCAACAATAAGGTGTCCACACACAGCAAAGGACAAAACCAACAACATGCTCTACCTGCAATCTATGTTCTACTTCGAAGAATCACTGCAAGATGCCCCTGATCAGAGATAGAGAGGTCAGCTGTGATTCTGCCCAGATGAAAGACTCACTGCTGCCTGAACTCACATTGTTTTGCTCTCTGTGACATGGAGTATTCTTTACAGGACTTCTATGAGCAGATGAATTTAGCACAATCTCTGGAAAAATCATTCCCATGAAGTATGGTTAAAAGAGTCATGAGAAGCCCTTTGTTTCTGCTGTACCTTGGGAAAATCTACAGACTAGGAGAGGAAAAAATCCCAACTCTTTAAAAAAAAATCCTCTACAAAAATAAGTGAGGAACTTCACAAGCATCACTCGCTGTAACTGCACTTATGAGTCTTACCAGTGTGTTGAAATATAAGCTTGATGGAATACTTCACTAGTTCTTTTCAAAATATTTTTCCACAGAGACTTGTATCTTTATGCAATTGTAGTTTTCATAAGTGATCCAAACATTCTGTGATTAATACTCACAAAGAGTCGGTTCCATACATTTTGGTGACTTCATAATATTGTGAAGCAAACCACGAACATAACAAACTCCTTTAGCTCAGGCACAATTTAAAGCCAAACTAAAAATGCCACAAGATATAAACTTCGTATGTGACATCAAGGGAAGTTACAACAGTTGTCAAAGCTTAGAACATCTCTATTCTGAAGCATTTAATAAGCAATGAGTAACAGTGGAATTCTCCATTCTACCCACAGGCTAGAACCAGTTCCACTGTTACCTAAAACCGTGTTATTCCTCTCCCTCTTTGAAATTGCTTTATAATTTCAGGTCACACAAGACTCTGTAGTGGCACCAAGTCACCGCTCAGCCTCAAAGTACTGTCTTTCTTTTTTGCCCCCATGTCTTTTATTTTTTCTATCTTTCTGCTTCTAATACACACTAATTTTCATCTAAAACTTATATTTTGGGAATATAAAAGAAAGAGTGTTGCTATTTTATCCCCCAAATAATACAGATTTAGTCTCATGGTCTCTGCCAAAGCTTCACAGAGCAGCAGCATGGACAAGCACGATTCATGAGTGGCACAACTTATCGGCACAGACCTTCTGTGTAGCCACACACAGAGGAATGAAATTGGCACTGTCTACCTGACCAGTGCACAAACACCTCCTTTTGGGGCCCTGCCTTTTCACATCTCAAGAAAAGTATGAAAACAGACATGTTTGAAAATAAAAACATTTGAAACTTTCACCTTGAAAAGAGCTGTTGGTGATGTGGCTGCGTGGATCAGAGAAGTACAGCTCAAGAGGCCTGCCCTTGGGCGGGCACCCCGATGGGTTGAGACAGGAACTTGCATTGGGTCAGGAAAGGTGTGGGTTTTGTGGCTCACCTGGCAGAGCAGGCTCCACTGTTTGCTCAGGACACCCCAGTGAGCTGAAGGCACAGAGCAGCCATGTGATGGAGAACCTGGAAAGGGAAGCACTGGAGTAAGACATAGGAGAGGTTGAAAGGAGATAGAGCACAAACCCCAAAGGAACCAGATTTCAGTAGTGTCAACTCCTGTCTACAGCTGTCATAGAATCATAGAATCAGCCAGGTTGGAAAGGACCTCTGAGATCATCAAGTCTCACCCTTAATCCACTACCACCATGGTTACTGTCCCTTCTTCCAGTGAGACATAATATAGTCCAGCAACTGATCCAGTGGTGGCATA